AGAGAAAGGATGCATGTGACTAGGAGATGGATGGAAAGAGTAGTGTAAGAGTAGTGTAGAGTAGTGTAAGAGTAGTGTGAATGACGATATGAGAGAGAGAGAAGTGAGTGTTGAGATGACGGCTGATAGAAGAGAATGGAAGAGAAAAATTAGCTGTGCCGACCCCACCTAGTGGGATAAAGTGGAGAAAAAAAATTGTTATTGACTTTTTTACTGGTGGTAGGACCTCTTCAGAGTCCGCGCGGGTAGGTACCACCGCCCTGCTTATTTCTGCCGTGAAGCAGTAATGCCATTACCATTTCCATACATCTCCTAGTCACATGCATCTTCTCTCTACGCATCTTGATGCGACAAAAAAGTCAATAACATTCATAATGAAAAAATAATGTTCACGAATGAAGGATATAATAATATGAGATAAATTAAACTGACAATCAAAGGTTTTATTATGTTAAAGAGCCGCCGCGCCGGACGCTGGATATCTTATTACTCTCATCAAAGTTTTAATTAAAAAAATATTAAATGAAAGAAGTGTAATGAAAGGGGAAAGTTGTTATTTTTTGTACATGTTTTTTGTTGTTGTTGTTGTTTTTTTGCAAATCCCGTTTATTTTTCTTGCGCTGTCTTCGTTATTATTTTAAACCTGAACCAAAACCTTTTATTAAGGCCATCGTGAAAAATAACATGTTTAAATAGATGTATAAGTTTCAGTTTTAAAAGTAAATTAAAAGAATAATGAATTTTAAAAATATAACGGCGTATTATTTGTTTTTTACGGTACAAACACCTTTGTTTAGTTCTGAGCGCGCATTGGTATGCGCCCACGGCTCGGCTTAAGCAATCTCGTTTTATTGTTTTGATAAAGAGGGTAATCTAAAACTAACGTGTCTCAAGTTGGACGGCGGAGTTCAGTCTGAGGCTTCTCCAGGTTCCATCAGTTCCTAGATTATTGCGGAAGACATGTCGCAAGGACATATATCATCAGAAATTCGTTCATAACCATGATAATATTTTCGAATTGTTTCGAATTATAAACTCCGAACAGTTGTTTTGAGTAGAAAAATAAATAAATATACTTTTTTACTGGTGGTAGGACCTCTTGTTAGTCCGCACGGGTAGGTACCACCACCCTGCCTATTTCTGCCGTGAAACAGTAATGCGTTTCGGTTTTAAGGGTGGAGTAGCCGTTGTAACTATACTGAGACCTTATAACTCATATCTACGGGCTCCAGTAACCACTTAACACCAGGTCGGCTATGAGCTCGTCCAACCACGTAAGAAATAAATTAAAAAAATACATACAACATTCGAACCATTTAAATTTCAACAAACACAAATCGTCAACGCCAAAGGACATTTGTTACATCCAATACGTTCGCCGGCTCCGAGCTGAGATCACTTTTGAAGTACGGTTGCATATTTATATTTTATGTTTCGTCGTAAAATGTTTGAAGTAACACGGTTTATTGTTCGCTCCATAAAACTCGGCGGACTCGCACGTACGTACTGTTTTGTAACTTGCACATTCCGTGTTTCTCGTGAAACACATTGCGACGTGTGCAGTATCTAGTATTGATGCTCTTCTGTATGAAAAACATTATTTGTATTTATTTTATTGCCTAGATGGATGGACGAGCTCTCAGCCCACCTGGTGTTAAGCGGTTACTGGAGCTCATAGACATCCACAACGTAAACGCGCCACCCACCTTGAGATATAAGTTCTAAGGTCTCAAGTATAGTATTTGATTTAGTGACCGGTAAAATGTTTAAAGTCACATCACAATCTGAAATTAGCACTGCGCATTATATTCCAATGATCCTGTTTGTAGAAATGTCGCCTACACGAATAGCTAATTATAGAAAAATCTTGCTATCCTATTTAAAATATTGGACAGCCGTCTTACATTAGATCGGTTACGGTAGCCACTTAACACCTGACGAGCCGTGAGACTGTTCACCCATCTGAGCAATAATAAGCCCGGCTAATTGCAGAAAATGGCGCACGATATAATTAAAACTACTTTTACGGCTTCATTATTATTCTCGCGATCATTATTTTCATTATTACAGTATTATATTAAGAGGGTCTGGCGATTTAAGATACTGCCAGTTTATGTTAAGTCTTACTGCGTGAAAAGAAACATATAAATATTTTGAAATAAAATTTGACATTTTAAAGTACAATATTAGAATCCGTATCCGTCGTCCGCTGATAGCCCTAATATATCCCTATATGTCAGCTACGCCCGGACGGGTTGGTGAGCTCACGGGCTCTACTTGAGAGAATTTGCTAACACTAGCCCTAGCAAGAGCAGTACTTCGCTGAGCGGACCGGAATTGCAATCCACTGAGAGGATCCTGCCAGAAATTCAATGGCTTAACCGTCCATACCTGTATAAAACAATAAGTTAATCATAATCAATAAGCAAATCCTACATAGTATAAAACAAAGTCGCTTTCTCTGTCCCTATATCCCTATGTATGCTTAAATCTTTAAAACTACGCAACGGATTTTGATGCGGTTTTTTTAATAGATAGAGTGATTGAAGAGCAAGGTTTATATGTATAAAACATCCATTAAATAGTGACGAAATCAATAATAAATTACTGTTTCCGAAGCGAAGCGAGGGCGGGTCGCTAGTATGTAATAAACGTGAAATTACCGCGAGGCTGCCTTAAAATTTACGAATCGCGAAGGAAATATTTTGCACGATTTTCTTCTGTCTGGCTAAACTGAAAACAACACCTACAAATTCACAAAGCAAATTTTGACGCTTATTTGTTTAATCACAAAAAAAAATCTAATTTCCGAGCTCGCAAACACATCGATAAATCATTTGTGCCTACTGAAATACGGTTCTGTGAATTACTAAAATATAGGCAGCCCTTCAACAATGGTACAAGTGAATGAATAAGTTTTTATTTATACTTAATATTATAAAGCTGAAGAGCTTGTTTGTTTGTTTGGCTGAACGCGCTAATTTTAGGAACTACAGGTCCGATTTGAAAAATTCTTTCAGTGTTAGATCGCCAATTTATTAAGGAAGGCTACAGGCTATATAACATCAATGCTAAGACCAATACGAGCGGAGCACTAATAAAGAATGTTTCAAAATCGTTTCTTTTTTCCTTTTGAGAGCTTTCGCTGCATGCTCTGCGGAAACGGTTAAAGTTTCGCTAAAATAATATTTGACAGAATTGTTCCCCTTTAACAGTTCTAAAAAAACTCCGCAACAGCATATATCTATATTTTAAGATTGGTTCACTATAACCTATTTTATAATGCTAACCAAATTTGTTCTAAAATAAAGCATTGTTTGTGAAAGTGTTTTTATAAAGATGATATTAATGCCTGTCCAAATAAATACGTTATTCATTACAAGTATTTAACATCGCAGCAAAATAATGATCAAGAGCATAATGATGATGTACAAGGCGCCGACCGGCCGGTGCGCGACGACACACAATAAGAAGAATAATAACAAGAAAGACCCAAATCACTTGAAGATAGGCTCTTTGAAAATTGTAGATTTTTCTGGATTTCTCCAGGGTCCCATCATCGGATCATGATCCTGATGATTACAGAACCATTCGGGAAGTCTACCCTTTCAAATAAAAAAAAATAGAATGATCAGAATCGGTTCAAGCATTCTCGAGAAGTCGGTGAACATAAATAGATTAAAAAATGGTGGTCGAATTGATTGCCTCCTCTTTTAAAGTCGGTTAAAAAGCTTTCGGTAAGCTAAGATTTTGGGTTTTTTTTTTAAATTTTGGTATGTGGTATATTATTGAAAAATATTTTCACCTTCTACGTAAATGAAGTCGCGGACAAAAGCTAGTGAATAAATAAAACAGGTTTGTGATCGTGTCAATGTCACAAAGGTGTTTTTTAGCAAACGATATCCATCGCCCACATTCCGACCTTAGATCCCTTTGTTCTGTCTTATAACATTACAACATCAAAGCGCCCTTACAATCTGACGTTTGTATCAAAAGAACATTTTTATAATATTATTACATACGGTTTCTGTGAGAATTTTGTTTCTATGGTACTCGTAAATTTAATGTTAATAAAATAATAAAAGTTATGATAAGATTGTCAGACGAGTTACAACCTTAAGACGTATGGTTTAAGTCCCAACTGCATTGGCGAAGATATGAATGATTTACAAGGAAGTTGTAACAGTAATGCAGTGAGTCGAGGAATCTCGGGACGCATTCACCTATCTCCTGATTAACGCCGGACAGGCAGCTATCATTAAAATTCAACCCATAAATTAATTTTATGGTTAGAATTATTATAATAGGTACATATTTACATATGAAGCTACCATTTTACAGTACTGGAATTGAACGATCGCCAGCGCGACGAACGCGTTAAGGCTTGCCATGCAGTTTTTAACAAACACAGAAACAAAGACATTTGGAACCACATTATCATAATGTTAATTGGACTCTAGTTCAGTACCTGGCCAAAGTCCCAAACGAAAACTTACCCTTAAAATATCTGTTCCTGACTGTCTTAGTCGCAGTTGTAAAGTACCATTCAATTTAGAAGTAAGTCTAAGTGCTTTCGTCCAACTCTTAGTAAGTGTTTATTGGAGCTACCAAGCATTATGACGTGAACGCCACCAACAGCGTTGAAATGAGATCAAACTCTTAACAAGATCATTTAATAGCGGGCCATCATTTAAATCGAGCCTTGCAATAGAAACCGGGATTATGCCGGTACCTACCTATGCGGGTCCATAGTTTTTTTCTTCTACCTATTCTAGTAAACTCGAGCGGTTATTCTAGATTCACCGAGCCAGTAGGTGAGCTCACGAGGCTCAAACCGGGAGTGTTGCTAACAGTGGCCCTACCAAGAGCAGTGCTTCGCAGAATCTACCACCGGACCACTGGGCTAAAGGTCCATAGTACGCACAATATCTAGTTTCGTGTGGAAACGACATTTCTCTTAGAGGCTTTATGTGTTGATGATCCTTTTCTCTTTGTTGCAGAAGTGTGGAGCGCGGGCGGCGGGGCCGGCGGTGGGACAGCATGCGGTAGCACCGGCATGGAGCTGAAACACGAGGTGGCGTACCGCGGCGTGTTGCCCGGCCAGGTGAAGGCCGAGCCTGGCGTCAGTCACAACGGCCATCCGGTCAACGGACACGTCCGGGACTGGATGGCGGGGGGAGCTGCGGGCGGGGGCTCGCCCTCCCCAGGCGCGCCGGGACAACCGCAGCCCAGCAACGGATACTCATCGCCACTATCCTCAGGCAGCTACGGTCCGTACAGCCCTAATGGAAAAATAGGTGAGCCGCAAAACAGCTTTGTATTTTGATTTTTACTGGTGGTAGGACCTCTTTCTGCCGTGAAGCAGTAATGCGTTTCGGTTTGAAGGATGGGGCAGCCGTTGTAACTATACTTGAGATCTTAGAACTTATACCTCAATGTGGGTGGCGCATTTCCGTCGTAGACGTCTATGGGCTCCAGTAACCACTTAACATCAGGTGGGCTGTGAGCTCGTCCATCCATCTAATCTATAAAAAAAACCAAAACTCCTCGGCGATTTGTCTAAAGTGACTGTCGTTTCTGAAAGTTAATAGAAATTTGATTTAACTCTAGAACAAAGGAGTGATATCCTCGTTTCAAAGCGCATGCGGGCTCAGTTTAACATAATGTTGCCGAACATGATTGTGTAACAGCGGGGAATCGGAACAACAACAGTAATCTCATACCGAATGCACGACCCTCATGCTGACACGAACAAAGAACTACAATAGTCCATTTCCCGACAGCCTTCAGGCCTTAATGATGGCCGTGGGTCAGGAAACTGAACACAGAGTATACGCGAACGTTCATGCATTAAAATAGTGGCCTTCTTGTCGATAATTACAGAATTTACAACTATTTAATACGCTTTTATTAGCTTCAGACGTATGTGTGTTAGTATGTAACGGAATCTTTGAACATGATTTTGACCCCCTTCAAAACGTCGGATTAACTCGAAATTTGGTATGCTTATTAAGGACCGATGACAATTCAATATTTAAAAAAAAATTGAAAAAATTGAAATTCAACTAAAAAATGAAAAATAAATAATAGTTTAAAAAAACTAACAAAACACGCTTTTATAGAAAATCCAACAAAAAAATTTAAAACAAATTTTAATTATAATAAATTTGAAATAAAGATAGTGTAAGAAGAAAATACTTTATTGTACAAAAACTATGGGATGCATGGTATCAGTAGTTATAAATATTTTACGAACAGATAGATATGAGTAGCGGGATTATTTTGATAATAACCTGAAAAGCACCGCAAGCTTTTTTTACACCATTTTTAATTCAAATTTATTAAAATTTATTTTCTATTTTTTAATTGAATTTTCTATAAAAGCATATTTTGTAAAAAAAAATTAATTATTATTTATTATAAGTTCATTGTGTAACCAAGTCAAATCAAATCAAATTTTTACGTTACGTTTAAAAATTTTACGTTACAAGCAACGTCACATTAAATTGTATAATATATCACACTTTTTTTTTTAAAGCTTGATACCAAAACCGATTATTGAAAGTATTAATAATAAAGTTTTAGACTTTAATAAATTTTTTAGTCTTTTACACTTTAATTGCTAAACTTTTTTTTGTATTAATAATTTACATTTAAAACAAAAAAAAGATGTGTGGTGTCGTGGGACACCGGATAGGAACGAAGTTCCCAATTATAAAAATATTAATTTTAAGTTCTATTCGAGGTATGAAGAAAGAGAGAGAGAGAGACAGAGAGAGAGACAGATAGACAGACAGAGAAACATGCGACGCCGCACAGCTTACAATAGCTTACTATAGCAAAAAGTGTCGTGACAACTTTTCGTAAGAATTTTTTCCGTCTAGCCCCCTTTCACAACGCGCGATAAGGAACTTCGTTCCAACAAAAAAAACTGACTTCAACAAAATAACGTGAGAATATTACAAATTAAAGTTCACCTAGTTTTAAATGGTTACCGGAGCCCGTAGACATCAGCAACCTGAATGGCGCCACCCAGCTTGAGACATGAGTTCTAAGTCTCAGTTTTATATGTAGTATTCAAACCGAAACGCCATTACTGCTTTACGGCACTTTACTGCTGCAGCCGTATGCGCTCACAAAACGCCCTACCACCAGCAAATATATTATAACAAATATGGACAATTAATGATAACTCAAAAACTTCAGATCTTGATAAAATTTTAATGAGACGATACATCGCAAAAAAGATGTGGTGTCGTGGGACACCGGATAGGAACGAAGTTCCTTATTATAAAAATATTAATTTTAAGTTCTATTCGAGGTATAAAGAAAATAAAACTGGAGGTTTCGCAACAACCCACGGTCTTTCGGTAACGTGCGAACTTATTGTGGTACACTTCATTCACGGTTGTTTGCATAAGAGTTAGTGTATTGCGCAAAAAAACGCTCTGAGATCGTGGTCAAAAAATATGTTATTTTTTGTACGTTATTACAAAGTTAAGTCGTACACTGTTTGCATTATTAATTAAAATCTTACGTTACGGACGTTTTTTCCCGGTTAGGATACCCCTCCGCATCGTCCCATAAGGAACTTCGTTCCAAAAGCTCACACAGAAAAATATAGTTAAATTGAGAACACCCTCCTTTTTTTGAAGTCGGCTAAAAATGAAGCGACATCACTTCGAATAAGAGGAACAATGAAAAACTTTTTAGTCAAGTAATCCGACGTTTCTAAACTGAAACACGAATATTAATTATCGTTGGAACTTGAACGAGGAAATTTCAGAACAACAAGCGTAATCACTGACTATTCTGTAATGCGTGGAGCGGTAAAATGGTAAAAATAATAGTTTAAAAAAACTAAAAAACACGCTTTATATAAAATTCAACAAAAAAATAGAAAATAAATTTAAATTGAAAATAGTGTAAATATATATATATTTTATTTTTAAAAAAGCGTGGGGTGCATGGTTTTTTTAGTTATAAAGCGTGTTTTTTAGTTTTTTTAAACTATTATTTATTTTTCATTTTTTAGTTGAAATTAATTTTTTTCAATTTTTTCTTTTTCATTTTTTTTTTAAGATTGCATTATCATCGGTCCTCGATAAATCTACAAAGTTTGAATGAAATCTGGCCGTTTAAAGTGGGTCAAAATCTCGTCTAAAGGAGTCAGTTACAAACATACAAACATACATAAAAGTGAAGCTAACATAAAGCGTGTAAAAAAAATTCAAGCAATCACGGTCCTCGTACAAATTTTTATACATACATCAGCACTTTGGTTTTTTTCATTGCTTCGCGTTATCGTGCAAAGCGATAAATGAGGACATCGACCTAACGATTGCGTGGTTCAGATAACGAAGCCGACACGAGTTGATATTTAGGAATTTAAGGAAAATCCGATAACGCAACAGAGTTAATTACATTGATTAAAAAAATTCGAAAAGAAAAAAGGAAATAATAAAAAAAAAGATGTGTGGTGTCGTGGGACGCCGGATAGGAACGAAGTTCCTTATTATAAAAATATTAATTTTAAGTTCTATTCGAGGTATAAAGAAAATAATTATTCGGGTATACATTGTTTATCATGATTTTTTTATTGATAAAAATTAAAAATAAATTACTTTACAAAGTTAACAACTTTATTTTATTCACAATGATTTATAAAAAATATATAATAATACATAATACAAAGAAACAGCTATTTATATGAATAATAATAATAATCGTCATCACGTAGACTATTAGACACTGTATAGCCATAATTCTAAGACTATACATAAATAATAAAAATCTTACGTTACGGACGTTTTTTTGCCGGTTAGGGTACCCCCCCCCCGCATCGTCCCATAAGGAACTTCGTTCCAACAAGCGGAAATTAGCTCCTTCGCTACCATTCGCGCAATCTAGAATTTGTGAATAAAACCTATTATGGCGGCTCGTAAGTCGCTAACGTCAGACAGGAGATTTTCCATCACCCGTATTGGAAGTCAAATTAGCTGCGAGGCTGACTTCGAGGTACTACGCTAACGAATTTAAGGAAACAGCGACTGCTCGACTGAAAGCACTCACACCAATGTATTATAACGTACAGTCATAAATGAATGTTTGTATTTGCTAGTAGTTTGTAGGCAGCGGCTTGGCTCTGCCCCTGGCATTTGTAGGCAGCGGCTTGGCTCTACCCCTGGCATTGCTGAAGTCCATGGGCGACGGTAACCACTCACCATCAGGTGGGCCGTATGCCCGTCTGCCTACAAAGGCAATAAAAAAAAAATTGCATACAATATATTCTTAGGGATAATATCGATTAATTACTTGTTATGTAGTTTTTTAACCCTTTTAGTGCTAAACTTATAATATTACGGGAATCGCTAAAGGATTTTTGAAAAGATACAATATACTTATACATACTTACACATAATCAAACTGCGTAATAATAGGTCTATCTATACCTACGTATAGCATTAATAAAGCATTAATGGACAGTCGATCTCTCGAATGTTCGCGCTCAAAGACTTAAGACTATAATAAATAAATCCGACATAAATATAAGCCTTACAAAATACCCTGTGAGAAATCGTTTCCGTGCCAGTGCAAAATCGGTTCTGCCTTATAAGGCATATATCCTCTTATAGAATAAAGAAGAATAACCAGAATGTTATGTATAAAGGGTAGAAATCACAAATATAATAGGTAAGTATACGTCTCTAATTCAGAACAATTTGAATGGTACAAATGTATGACAAACTTAGTTTTTTTCTTCGGTTTTCGTAAAATGCTTATACGGTTCATACTAGAATTTTTTATTTTAATTATTATTTTATTCGAAATGTCGGAAATAATAAACGCGTGAATTAACTGTAAAAGTAGTTTTAATTACATGACAAATATATAACCAAGTAACGTTCATTTTGTAACGCACAACTAAAAAACCCTGACTTCGGTTAACGACCGGAAATCGACTTCATTATACCTAATTAATTAGTTAAGCCGATGACTCAAGATTATTTAAGAAATCTAGCAAGGCTCTTCGTGGCTGTTCAAGGTAAAATAAACGGCCTCAAAGCGAACACCGGTTAAATAAATCATTAAGACAAATTGTGTAGTAAGATAAAATTCTCGAATGCGAAAGTTTGTTGTTTTTATTTAGAGAATTCTTCGCATTCGTATTCTCGGCAGCCCAACGAGGCGCGGCCGAACCAAATAAAAAAAAAAAAATAACAGTGCCATATCTCACAGGTCGTTTGGAAGCGCATCTTGGCGTCTCAAGAATTCTAATTTGATTTTTGAAAAGAAA